TAAAGACATTGGCTCCTGGGTGACTGATGGTATGGTACATTCTCGAAAATTAAATATAAACGACATAGGAGAATGTCCCAGTGTTTCCACTTGGAGACTGGAGTAGTCAGTTCCCACTCCCCACTGGGTCTCAGTGGTCTCATCTGCAGAACAGAAGGTATAGCAGAAAGGCCGGTGCCCGAAGGACAGCCTGGTCGGGAGGGAGTCTGGGGAGCTGGTAGGGGTCATGACGTTCATGAACAGCCGCGATGGCCAAGGTTGGGGGTATGGTTTTATATTGGGTTCAATGGGAAGCCGTTACAGGGCTGTGAGCAAGGGAAAAGTAGCAACAGGCTTGTTTTTTTTGAAGGAAACCCTGAGGCTGAGGTTGCTGTTTTCAGGGCAGGAGAGGAATCATGAGGCCTGTTGTGAGGCCAGTGCAGGGGTCCAGCTTAGAGAGGAGGCTTGGACTAGGACAGGGAGTGAAGGCAAGATTTCCACAGAGTGGCACGATTTGCGTTACGGTGCGAGCGCTTGCGGATGACCGCATTGTAGGAGAAAGAGGGGACCCCAGAACGTCCTGTTTCTCACTTGAGTGACCATTCCTGTACGTGGGGAAGAGCAGGGCTGGGCAGGGGACGGAGGAAAGTGAGTTTTATTTGTAGGTTCTTGGGGGTGGGAGAGAGTGTGCTAGGCTGGAAGTGGGTCCCCCGCCAGTGGCACCCAGGCCAGGGTGCTCCAGCCCAAACCTGTGCCCCACGTGGCACATCCACCACTGGTCTGCATATGTGAAGTGTGAGATGCCTCTGAGGTGCTGGGATGGAAGGGAGCAGAGGAGTCTGGAGCTTAGAGAAGACATCAGGATTCCAGAGAAAAATGTGAGTGTCATCAGAGCTTGGGTGGCGTTTAAAACTGGTGATGGGTGCCAGACCGAGGGAGCTCCTATAGAGAGGGCAGTTCAGAGATGAGTCCTGGAGCCCCCCCGGGAAGAGGAGGAGAAGCCACTGAAGGCGAGAAGAGGACATCCGTGAGGTTGGAGCACCCAGAGAGTGCAGGGAGAGGACCCCGGAGATAGGTGGGGTGGGAGTCACTGGGGCCTTGGCGAGAATGGCTTCCGTATAATGATTGAGAAGAAGCCTGACTGGAGTGGGTGGAGGAGGGATCAGGTGAGGAAGGAGCTGACAGTGTATGGGCTAAGTCCTCTGTGAGTGCCGCTGTGAAGGACAGCAGGGACGTGGCGGTCACTGGAGAGGCATGAGGAGTCCAAGAGAGCATTTTTTAAAGATGGGCAATATTGTGCGTATTTGAATGCTAAGGAGAGTGATCTAGCAGAGGGAGTCTGATCAGCGCTGCGGGATTGACAGGGGAGCATGGCTGGAGCAATGTCCTCAAGAAGGGAGGAGGGGCTGGGATCAGGACTCAAGCTGGCCTTAAGGAAGGGCCACCTGTTGTAACAGAGGGAGGGCAGAGAGTGGGGACAGATAGAGGTGGCTGCCAGGTTTGGGCACAGGGGGGCAGAGATTTCTCTCAGGAAGAGAGCCAACTGGGAGACTGCTCTGGCCCCAGCTGTCAGGACACGAATGCAGGGACACAGGTGCTGGGGTCTGCAGCCTCCTGATGGTTCCAGGCTGTGAGGTTGGGGGGTGGCAGGGGCAGGGCTCAGCTGGCCACAGCTGGTGGGCGCTGACACCCTGGGAGGGAAGCAGAGGAGCCAGAAGACCTGACCGGGGCCTTGCTCGGCTCTTGGCCAGGTGATGCGCTACGAGAGCGTGAACATCAAGGAGAGCGCCCGCCTGGACCCCGCAGCGCTGAGCCCCGCCAACCCTCGGGAGAAGTGGCTTCGTAAGCGGACTCAGGTCAAGCTGAGGGTGCGTGCGTGCTCAGTTCGCATGCGGCTGGGACTGCGTCCTCTGGGAGGTGGGGCTGGCCTGGGGGCTGGGGCGTCCGCATGGCAGGTAAGCACTTCGGCTTGGGAGCTCAGCACCCAGACAGGCCAGGGCTCACACTCAGATGAGGCCCAGGCGCTGCAGCTGCAAGGGGTGTGAGTTGCTTCCCCAAGGCCTGGTTCCACAGGAGCCCTGAGGGCCGGGGTCCAAGACACTAGGGTTGGTGAGGAGATACCAGTTATGGGGCAATTGCTATATGCCAGGCTACAGTAGATGTGGACTTGAATCAGAAAGAGTCCTGGATCTCAGTCTCAGTTACCATTGAGTATGGCCTGGTGTGATATTTGATAGAGGAAGGCACAGATTAAGACAATTATGGAAAGAAGGATTGTCAGGGCAAATCATTCAGGGATTCTCTGAAGAGGCTCCTCTGTGGGGTATTGAAGGATGAATAGGAGTTTGAGGTACATACATTTATTTATTCACCCAGCAAACGATCATCAGTGCCTGCTCTGTCTCAGTCATTCTGGTAGAGAGTGGAGCATAGGGTTGTACAGACACAACCATCGCTATGGTAGGTACCTCCAGTCTGGCGAAAAGGCCAGACATGGACCCCAAGAACAGTCCTAAAAGGTAGAAGGAGATCAATCCTTCATGAACCAACTCTTTTTCGGTAAACATATTTATTGAGATAAAATCCACATATCCTATAATTTACCCATTTAGATAGTACAATTCAGTGGATTTTAGTATAGTCACAGATGTGTGCAACAATTACCATGGTCAGTTTTAGAGCTTTTTCATAACCTCCAAAAAGAAGCTCTGTACCCTTTAGCTGACACTCCCTCACTTGCCCCAGGCACTCAGTAACTGACTTTCTGTGCCTGCAGATTTGCCTATTCTGGACATTTCATTTCAATGAAATGATGTAATATGTGACCATTTGTGTCTGACTGTTTCACTTAGCACACTGTCTTCAAGGTTCATCCACGTGGTCGCTGTGTCAGAAATTCCTTTCTGAAGCTGAACAATATCCCGTTGTATGGAGATGCTGTGTTTCGCTTATCCATTCACTACCTGATGGACATTTGTGTTGTTTTCACCTGTTTGTTTTTTGTTTGTTTGTTTGCTTTTGTTTTTGTTTTTGTTTTTTTTTGAGACGGAGTCTTGCTCGGTTGCCCAGGCTGGAGTGCAATGGTGCAATCTCAACTTACTGTAACCTCCCCTCCCGGGTTCAAGTGATTCTTCTGCCTCAGCCTCCTGAGTAGCTGGGATTACAGGTGTTCACCACCATGTCCGGCTAATTTTTATTTTTTATGTTTTGTATTTTTAGTATAGATGGGGTTTCGCCATGTTGGCCACGCTGGTGTTTTCACCTTTTGGCTGCTATGAATAATGCTGCTAGGAACGTCCGTGTATAAGTTTTTGTGTCTTTCATTTCTCCTATGTTTTCATTTCTCTTGCGTATATGCCTAGAAGTGCAATTTCTGGATCAAATGGTAACTATGTTTAATCGTATAGGGAACTGCCAGACTGTTTTCCACAGTCACTGTACCATTTCACATTCCCACTGGCAATATATGAGGATTCTGATTTCTCCGCATCTTCAGCAACCCCTGTTATCATCTGTCTGTTTGATTCTAGTCGTTCTGGTGGGTGTGACGGGGTATTTCATTGTGGTTTTGATTGCATTTCTCTAATGACTAGTGATGCCGGATCTTTTCAGGTGCTTATATTCATGAACCAGCTGCTCCCTCTCCCCTGACAGTGCACCTGTAAGGGGGCCTGCGTCCCCTACCTGGCTGAGTGTCTCCAGTTTATCTCAGGGACCCCGTGCAGATGAGGTGTCTGCAGACATTTGTTGGATTGAATTAAAATGCGTGGGAATCGAAAGGAGGTTGAGAACATGTCTTTGAGGAGTCCGAGGAGTGTTTCTTGGCGATGATGACGCTGAGTCTAGTCATAACGAATGGGCTGGAATGTGGGGGAAGAGGGCCAGGGATGGCACCTAGAGCCAGTGTGGGGGGCGGGGCGGCGGTGTGAGCAAAGGTCTGGAGGCTGCTGCAGAGCCTGGCAGAAAGGACCAGAAGGTGTGGATGGGGAGCAGCAGGAGACAGACTGAAGAGGTCATTCAGGCAAGGCTTGGAAAGCTAAGCTCAGGATCTGGACTCTACCCAGAGGGCACTGGGGAGCCCGGGAGGGTGTTAATAGATTTGTGCTTTATAAAGACAGAGGATCTGTTGCAGGGACTGCCTTTGAGTAAGGAGCTCCATTAGGAAGCTGTTAGCAGCATCCAGGCGATATCGTTGTGGGAGAGACGACAATGTGGCCAACACAGTAAAGGAATGGTCACCAGATTGAGAGACTAGGGTCTTGGAGGCCAGGCTGGGAGTGGGGGCTGGTCGGGGCCAACACAGGCTGCAGAATGAACTGAAACCAGAAGTGAAGGAGAATAGGGAGGTTGAGACAGTCACAGATAAAATGATGCAGCATCCAGGATTGCTCCAGGATAATCCCGGCGAGGCTGGGGCCAAGGCTGGAGAATTGGGCAAGGGAAGAATGAAACCAGGATGGCCATGAGTTCATTGCTAAGTGGTGGAGCAGGTGTCGGGAATACGAGGCTTTGTTACACTCTTCTCTCTCTCTCTACGCTTGTGCATTTGAAATTTTATCTTTAAAAAAAAAAAAAGACAGATAGTAAATATCCGTTGGATGTGCGCCGTGATGTAGAAGAAAAAACCAAAGAAAGGCAGTTTCCAGCTCGGGGATCTAGAAGAGAAGGACAGGCTGTGAGGCCAGTTGTCCCCTCAGGGCCAAGCAGAGTCAAAAGCAGAGAACAGGCCGGGCGCGGTGGCTCACACCTATAATCTCAGCACTGTGGGAGGCCGAGGCAGGCAGATCACCTGAGGTCAGGAGTTCGAGACCAGCCTGATCAACATGTAGAAACCCTGTCTCTATTAAAAATATGAAATTAGTCAGGCATGGAGGCACACGCCTGTAATCTCAGCTACTCGGGAGGCTGAGGCAGGAGAATTGCTTGAACCCGGGAGGCGGAGGTTGCGGTGAGCCGAGATCGCGCCATGGCACTCCAGCCTGGGCAACAAGAGCAAAACTCCGTCTCAAAAACACAAAAAAACAAAAAATAAAACAAAACACACAAACAAAAAAACAAAAGCAGAGAACGTACAATGGCAGGAAGCCCTGTGCGCCTTTGGGGGACTCATGTTAGACAGCGTTTGGGGGACTCACGGTCTGTTTTTCTCCCACGTTCCCTGGGAACACATCTCTGAAACTCTAGCAGAAGTTAGTAGGGAGACATGATTCAGCAGGCTGATATGCCTCCAGCCAGTCTGAGGCACACTGCAATGATAAAGCAAGGTTGAGCCTCCCTTGCAAGGACTGAGCCAGCTTCTTTCTGTCCTTCCAGAATGTCACGGCTAATCACCGGGCCAACGATGTGATCGCTGCTGAAGATGGCCCCCAGGTCCTGGTGGGGCGGTTCATGTACGGTCCCCTCGACATGGTGGCTCTGACTGGAGAGAAGGTACCCGGGGCTGGGCCTCCCCTCCTCAGCCAGTCCACCTGCACCAGGTGCCTCGTGGAGCCACATGGCATATGGGGTGAGGGTGTCAGGAGGGCCGAGCTACCTGGGGTGGAAGCACAGGGCCAGGAGTCACTCACCTGCTTGGGCGGGCCGGGAGGGGCGAGCAAGGAGGAAAGGATGGGCTCAGAGTATCCAAGGATGAATGAGGAGCCAGGGAATGTCAGGCAGGGACCTCAGCCCAGATTGCCCCTGCCCAGCCCCTCTGCCAAGCCTGTAGCCCCTCAGCCTTCAGGGAATCCCCTGACCCCTTCACTGCCACAGGTGGACATCCTGGTAATGGCCGAGCCGTCCTCAGGCCGCTGGGTACACCTGGACACAGAGATCACCAACAGTAGCGGTCGAATCACATACAACGTGCCGCGGCCCCGGCGCCTGGGGGTCGGCGTCTATCCTGTGAAGATGGTCGTCAGGTAAGACCCAGGGGCCATTCTCAGGGAGGTTTCTCTCATTTCCATGGCCCTTCCAGCCAGGCCTGTCTAGAATTTAGGGTCCTTGGGGTTCTTTTTTTTTTTTTTTTGTCTTTTTTTTTTGAGGCGGAGTCTCGGTCTGTCACCAGGGCTGGAGTGCAGTGGCGCAATCTCGGCTCACTGCAAGCTCCGCCTCCTGGGTTCCCGCATTCTCCTGCCTCAGCCTCCTGAGTAGCTGGGACTACAGGCGCCCGCCACCGTGCCCGGCTAATTTTTTGTATTTTTAGCAGAGACGGGGTTTCACCGTAGTCTCGATCTCCTGACCTTGTGATCCGCCTGCCTCAGCCTCCCAAAGTGCTGGGATTACAGGCGTGAGCCACCGTGCCTGGCCCCTTGGGGTTCTTTTTGGGCCCCCATCTCTATCTGCATGGACAGAAGTGGATGGGAGAGGTCACCAGCCGTGGCATCAGGAGATGCCACCCAGGTGCTCTCTGACCTTGACCCAGATTGAGCTCTGACTGCAGCCACAGGCTGACCTCTGGCTTCTGGCTAACGTCTGACCCTGACCTCACGGCTGACCATAGGCAGGTTTCTTTCAGGGGCGACCAGACCTGTGCCATGAGCTACCTCACGGTGTTGCCCCGGGGCATGGAGTGCGTCGTGTTCAGCATTGATGGGTCCTTTGCGGCCAGCGTGTCTATCATGGGAAGCGACCCCAAGGTCCGGCCGGGTGCAGTGGACGTTGTCCGGTGAGTGCCACCTTCCGCGAGGGATATGTCTCCCTGGGGGGCAGGAGCCAGCAGCCCTGGGGAAATATGTTGTTTTTCTGATTTGCTCCAGGAATTCTACTGGTCTCTGGGGCTGCGAGCTGGGAAGCCCTGGCTTTACCTCCAATAGTAATTTATTGAGTGTCCTTGGGAAAATTTCTCCTGCTTTCTAGACCTCAGCTTGTCTGTTTCTTCCTCTCTCCCTCCCTCACTTCCTTCTTCCCCCTCCCAATTCCTTCCTTTTTTCCTTCTTCCCTCCCTCCCTCTCTCTCTCCCTCCTTCCTTCTCTCCCTGCCTCCCTCCCTCCACTCATGCACGCATCCATCCCTTTCTGAGGCCCACTGTGGCCAGGCTGTGTGCTGGGCACTGATGCAGAGTGAGCTCTTAAGTTGGAGGAAACTCAGGGTCTGGTGGGGAAAATGAGTCACAGGCATGAGAAAGTGTAACCCAGGACTCCAAGTGATCAGAACCTCAAAAGTAGGACAGATGCCAGGCACTGGAAGTTCTTGGGGGCTGGAGACTGCCCTCCCTCACCCCAGTAACAGTGATGGCTTTGGGGAGAGAAGACGGGCCTGGCTCCTGGGCTCCCGGGAGACTGCTGCCCTCGAGATGCCCAGCAGCTCCGTAGGAACAGGCCTAGTCAGGCTCAAGCCCATTTCAGGGGGCCAACCTTCCCCTTGTAGGGCTAGGTCGTTTGTTGCCCTTACAACAAATCCCTCCAGCATCATGGTCCCCCTCCCACTACAGGAAAGGGGAGGCTGTGGTCCTTCCTCTCTGGGGGTCCGTGGTCCTCCCACTGCCTTCCACGGGCTCCAAGGGCCACATGGTGCTGACCAAACCTCGACAGTCGTCAGGAACTCCCCTTTTCGTAAACATATCACTGGGCCCCACGTCAGAACTAACCAGAATCCCTGAGGTGACCCCTGTACCCCTGCATTAGTGTAAAGCATCCCCAGATCCCTCAGACCATCACCCAGGTTTAGAACTCCCCATCTCTGTTAGCCTGTTCTGGTGGCAGGTGCCATATAGGTGCCCAACCAGGTCTGGGCTTATCTGACATCTTGCAGCCAGGATTCTGCGTGAAGTCAGCCAAGAGAGCTATCCCACAGTGCTGTGAGAGCACAGAGGAAAGAGGCTGATTCTGCCTGGGAAGCAGGGAAGGCTTCCTGGAGGAAGGGGGGTCTTGAAAGATGGAAGATGTGAATATCAGGAGATGGAGCCATGAGGGCTGTCTAGGGGAGAGCTATGTAGCAGAAAAGCCCAGGGCTTGTCCAGCGGCCGCAAAGCAGCTCTGGGTGGGCTGGGGGGATCCCATATGCAAGGGCAGAGCAGGGGCATGGCCACAGAGGCAGAGAGAGGCCTTGAGGCTCTACCTCAGGGTGCTGGGGAGCTGGAGATGCTGTTCGGCAAAGGAGTGCTGGGGTTAGATTTGTGATATACAGAAATCACCATGGAAACACTGTGGAGGATAATAATAAAGCCAGCCACACCAAGCACACCACCTTGCTACGCATGTTTGGGATTAATTCCTTTCATCTTTAGGACAACCTTGTGGGGTAGTTCATATTATTATGCCCGTTTTGCAGAGGGGGCAACTGAAACCCTGGGAGCTTGGGGAGGGTTGAGTAATCTGCCCAGGGTTACAGGGCTCAGGTTAGATATGGGTAGGAGCGGGGGTGCAGGGAAAGAGGCCGACCAGGAGGCTTTTGTAATGGCCCAGGAGAGAGATGGGGCCCGGGCTGAGGATGAGAAGCAGGGCTTAAGTGAGAGGGCTGGGGGACGGGGGTGTAAAGAGTCTGGCCTGGTGAAACGGAAAGGCTTTCTTCCTGGAGGAGGAGGGAGGGAGGCACAGGGAACAGGGGGGAATGAAAGGCGCCTGTCTCTGGCTCTGAAGCGGCTGTGAGCAGAGGGGTCAGGGGTGAGGAGATGAGTTTGGATGTGGGCCTGCAGCACCTGGAGGCCATCCGGGGAGATGTCCAGGGCTCAACCGGGAGAGGGGATTCGGGATCCCCCTTGTTCTCCCTAGCACGCCTCAGACTCGTCCCTCTGACATCTCAGGAGGGCAGCTATGGTCAGGGCAGGCTTCTGGGCATCGGGTGGCCTGCACTGGGCAGGGCTGGACCCTTCTAATGCCGTCTCGCCAGGCACTGGCAGGACCTGGGCTACATGATCCTTTACATCACGGGGCGGCCGGACATGCAGAAGCAGCGGGTGGTGTCGTGGCTGTCCCAGCACAACTTCCCACAGGGCATGATCTTCTTCTCGGACGGGCTGGTGCACGACCCGCTGCGGCAGAAGGCCATCTTCCTGCGCAACCTCATGCAGGAGGTGAGTGGCCAGCTCGGGGCAGGGGCGGGGCCTCCACAACTTGAGAGCCCAACCCTCCTCTTCACCACTCCCTGCCTCCCTCCCCCGGGGTGGGGCCTCATGATGTGCAGTCTACAAATCCCATTCCCGTGGATCTGGTGGGTCCTCTAGCAGCCCTGTGAGGTAGGTTATTAGTCTCGTCATTGACAGAGGAGAAAGGTGAGGCTGCAGCGACTTGCCCTAGATCTGAGTCAGACTTTCGTCCTTTATCTCCTGACTCTTGTCTCTACATCTGGCCATTCATCCAGTAGACATTTAAATGGCGATTGTGTTCCTTACTCTGTGCTTGTTGGGGCTGCACAGAGACAAACAGAACCAGGGGGGCAGAGGATGTGCTTTCCGTGACCCAGATGTGCTTTCCATGACCCGGATGTGCTTTCTGTGACCCGGATGTGCTTTCCGTGACCAAAGCTGTGGTTCCCACTAGCAGCACCAGGGAACTCAGGAGAAGTGCAAATTCTCTGCCCCACCTCGCCCCCCACCCTCTTAGACCTACTCAGTCAGAAACTCTGGGGAGGGGCTCAGGAACCTTTTCACAAGCCCTCCAGGGGATTCTGATGCACAGAAAAATAAATCAAGAATCCCTGACCTAGAGCAGAGCAGGCGTTGATATATAATGACCAAACCCAGCCCACAGCCTGTTTTGTTGTGACTGGTCAGCTAAGGATGGTTTTTACACTTTCAAATGGATGGAGAGAATAATCAAAGGAATGATATTTCATGACATGAAAATTACATGAATTTCAATGTCTCTAAATAGAAAACGTTTGATTGGAACACAGCCAAGCTCATCTGTGTACGTATTGTCTATGACTGCTTTTGCAGTACAACAGCAGAATTGAGTAGTGGTGACACAGTGCGAAGCCTGAGATCGTTACTATCTGGTCTTTCAAAGAAAAAGTCTGCAAATCCCTGATCTAGAGGAGGAAGGACATGTCAATTGACAACTACTGGTGTGTGGTTGAAAAAGGCCCTTTTAGCAAACAGAGGAGAAAGGACTTCAGTTTGTCCAGGGAGGGCAGGGAAGGCTGCTAGGAGGGTGGTAAATTTTGAGTTGAGTCTTGAAGCATGAGTTTTTGTCAGGTAGACAGTGAAACGGCATGTGCAAAGGCATGGAGGCAGGAGAGAGCTTGGGACGTTCTCAGAGCTGCGGGCATCCAGGCTTGGGGTAAGTGCAGGCAGGGTTAGACCCAGGGCAAGTGGGAGCTGAGCCCTCAGAGGTCATCAGGGGCCCAAACCTGGCAGATCTTGAAAACGGTGGAAACCAGGCCAAGATCACAAATTCTCTGCTGAGGGTCATGGAGAGCCACGGAACAGTTTAAAGCAGGGAAGTGGTCCTGTCTAACTTGGCGTGTACAAAGATCCCATTGGTGGCTGTGTGGAGAACAGACTGGCAGGAGAAACCAGAGGCAGGGAGGCCAGTTAGGGGGCTCTCGCCCAAGCAAAACACAGGAAGACCATAATCCAGGCGATGATGAGCACGGGATGGAGAGAAAAGCATGGACAGGATTAGGAGGTGGAATAGTCAGGACTCAGGGATGGCTGGACGCAGAGAGCGAGGAGTTCTAAGATGCTCGTGCTGGGTGACCAGGAGGGATCCAGGTGCTACACACCTGACCAGGTCTCCATGGTCTCCATGGAGGCAGAGCCTGTCCGTTCTGCTCACCAATATAGCTTCTGGATTGGGGGTGATGATGCTGCGTGGTAGGGACTCAATAAATGTTGGTAGAATTAATGAATGAATGAGTGAGTGAATGAGAGGGGACACGAGAGGAGGACCAGGCTGGAGGGAGATGAGCTCAGCTGTGGACACGTCAAGGCTGATACGACCATGGGACCTGATATGGCTTAGGGGAGGTCTGGGCTGCAGGTGGAGACTGGGAAGCAGACGCACAGGACGGATCAGCGGAGCCACGAGAGGGGAGGCCAGGCATGAGAAGGGGCTGTGCTGGGCCCCTGAGAGCAGCACAAGGAGCGGCTGAGGAACCAGGAGGAGAGTGAGGGGGAGGAGGGCCAGGAGACAGAGGCTACAGTTATCGGTAGGAGAGGGGTTCAAGGAGATAGTGCCCCTCTTGCCAAGGGTGTGGGGTGCTGAGAACTGTCCACTAGACAAAGGTTGGCCACCAGATGACCTTGTGAGGAAAAGACAATTCGGAAGGATAAGGGGGCAAAAGTAGTAGGGAGAGGAGCAGAGAAGGTGGGTGTCAGCTGGGAGGGTCATGAGGCAGCCAGGCAGGGTCCCCAGAGCTAGAGGATCCCAGTTATAGGAGTGATCTCAGGTGAATGAGAAGGTGGAAGGGCCAGACGAAGAGGCGCTGCTCCACCCTCTGAGTCAGCTGGGAATACACCAACCACTGAGGTGAGGGACAGCGGGCTGAGGAAGCCGTCTCCTTGGTCCAGCGTCGAAGGCAGCCACCTGCAGGACAGGGTAGGGCTCAGGGAAGGACAGGAAGAAGATGGAGGGTGAGAGCTGTGTGGCTCTGTGTTTCTTTAGCAGCTCTCAGTGAGCAGCGTATACAAATACACAAGGCGGATAGTGGAAAATTTCCAGGGCTGAGATTTGGCTGGGCGGGTGTGGGAGGATGAAGAGGTGAGAGAATCTGGGGTGGAGGCAGAGGACACAGGGATGCTGCGGGTCACTCAGGCAGGATGAGGAAGGGGTGAGGCAGCAGGGCTGGTGCAGAAAGCACAAGTGTCGGTGAGGCTGAGAGCAGCCAGGTGGCGGCTGGCGGAGACGTGGCAGGGAGGGGGCAGAAACCCTGGGCGCAGCGGACTTGTGGAAGTTCACAGTTAGAGGGGCAGGTTCTGAGTTCGGTTCCGGAAGTGACGGCCACTGACGTGAAAGAAGGTGCAAAGCTGCGAGGCGGGGTGGGAGGTGGTAGATCCCTCACGTCACTCTGACTGTGGCTCATTCCAGCGATGGTGGGGATTGGGAGGAAGGAAAGCTGTGACCCAGGACCACAGTCTCCAGTGGCTTCAGAGGAGCGTGAGTGGGAGAAAAAGAGGATGACAGGGACAGGAGGCAGCTGGGTGGCCAGCACCTCACAGGAGGAGGCAGTTTGATCCGGTGTATCCCAGGGAGAGGAGGGAACGGTGATGGTCTGGAAGTGCCCTGGAGCAAGGCAGACCTTGTGCAGTTCTCCGAATTGAACTGGGGATTCTGGGGGGCGGGGGGTGGGACAGTCATTACACCAGCCAGCGGGAGGCAGTGGGCGCACGGCGAGCTGCAGCGTGGAGCGGTGTGGATGATACAGGATCAGAAGCCAGGCAGAACTGGCCTCCAGTCTTGGCCCTGTGAGCCAGAAACCTGGAACTCAATTTCCTTATCCACAAAGGAACGTTTGGCTTCATCATTACTTAACCTGAGCGTACTGCTGGAGGCGGGACCGGTAAATGGTGTGGTCACGACTGTTTACCGGGCAGAGTCCTGGGATGGGCCTGGGGTGCAGGGAGGGGCAGCCACTCTGGGGGTTCATTCCTGACACAGGGTGGCCCCATGGCTTGGAGTCTACCAGAGTGCCCATAGAGGGTCCCCAAGCGGGGGCTCCCTGGGGTTGGCCCGGGAAGGCTTTCCAAGAGGTAGGCTGGCCTCACTCTCCCTCCGTGCCTGCCCTGTGTTTCAGTGCTTCATCAAAATCAGTGCGGCCTACGGCTCCACAAAGGACATCTCTGTGTACAGCGTGCTGGGCCTGCCTGCCTCCCAGATCTTCATCGTGGGCAGGTCCACCAAGAAGTACCAAACCCAGTGCCAGGTGGGTGGAGGCGGGGCTGGAGGCGGGGAGTTGTGAGGGAGGTCAGGGAAATGGATGGAGGGAGTGGGCACTTCATTCATTCATTTGTCCATTCCCACATTGGCTCATTCATTTATTCAGCAAACACTTCGGGGTGCCTGCCTCGGGCCAGGGCCTGTGTGGTTCAGGGAGAGAATCCCAAGTGGAGTCGGATGCAATGAACTTCAGTGTAGTGGGGAGATGGCACACGTGCAGTTGGTGACAGTGGAGTGTAGCAAGTGCCATGATGTATGATGGGGGGCTCAGGGAATTGCGGGGCCCTGGAGAGGGACCCAGACTCCAGGGCAAGGTTGGGTTTCTGGAATTTGAAGGAATGGTCCAGGAAGGGCCTGAGACTGAGAAGAGCATTTGTGGCAGAGGCAGCAGCAAAAGCCAAGGTCAGGAGGTGACAAAGAACATGTATATTCTGGGACTGCCAGTGACTCAGCTTGGCTGCGTGGGACATGAGCCGGGAGGGGAGAGAGGGGGCTGGAACGGTCAGTGCAGCCACGATGGCCTGTGTGGGGACTCTGCGAGAGTGGATGAGCAGGTGTGTGATTCAGGAAGCTCCCTCAGGCTGTCGGCGGAAGGTGGTTCAGAGGAAGGAAAGAAAAGCCGAGAGGGAGCTGAAGAGAAAGTGGAGGGTCTGAGAGGCATTTTTTGGTAGGAGATGGATTGGGTTTGGTAATGCCCAGATGGATGTGCAGGATGAGAGAAAGGGAAGGCAGAGGACAGTGCCTTGGTTTGTGGCTTGGGTGACCACGTAGGAGGTGCCCACTACTGGAATCGCACAGCAGGCGGAAGGGAAGGAGGTGACCTCCCTCTGGGGCATGTCAAGTACGCAGTGCCTAAGAGTGACCCGCGGGTAGAGGGTCTGGAGATGGTGGCGTTTCCAAGTTGGGAACTCAGGGCCCGCTTCTCAAACTCTAAAGTGCCCAGGCATCACCTGGAGATCTTGTTGCCATGCATATTCTGATTCCATAGGCCTGGGGCGGGGGGAGGGCCCGAGGCTCTGCCTAACAAGGGGCCAGGTGGTGGTGATGCTGCCAGAGTCCGTGGACCACATATCGCGTAGCCAGGTTCTGGGCACAGCCGAAAGGACCGGCAAGGAGGGCAGCCGCGGGGCTCAGAAAAGTGACAAGAGGCATGGAGAGGCAGGTGGCATGATGGGAGGGACTTTGCAGAATTCTAGTGAGCCAAGTGACAAGGATGGGTGCTTCCCCACCCTCAAGAACCCATAGGCCAAGTGCCCTGGCTCATGCCTGTAATCCCGGTGCTTTGATACACAGGATTGCTTGAGCCCAGGGTTCAAGGCCAGTCCTGGCAACAGGGCAAGATGCTGTTTCTACAAAAAATTTAAAAAATGAGCTGGGCGTGGTGGCATGTACCCGTGGTCCCAGTCACTTGGGAGGCTGAGGCTGGAGGATTGCTTGAGCTGGCGAGGTTGAGACTGCAGTGAGCTGAGACTGGGCTACTGCAACTCCAGCCTGGGCGACACAGTAAGACCCTGTCTCAAATAAATAAACTAATAAATTGATTAAAATAAAATAGGAATGAAAATCCAGAGAACTCTGGTGTGACCCACGGGTACAGGTAGAGATGCATGGTTGTTCAAAGCGGGATGGGGACTCTGGAACACTAAAGAGCTCCCGGCTTCCCCGGGCTTCCTCGGAGAAGCTGGAGGTGTCTCCATAGAGTGTTCCTGGGAAATGATGGGGACAGGATCAGATCAGGGGCCTGCCTTGCCCTCCACCTGACGCCTGTCCCCTCCCCTCCCCTCCCTTCTTCCCCCTCCCTTCTTCCCCCTCCCCTCTTCTCCC